TGGCACTGGTAAAAACAGACCTTATCATCAAGGAAGGTGAAATGCCCATTTAATAGATACACAAGTCAGCCAGTTATTTGTAGGTAACAAATGTCTATGTTAACTCTTATTAGTACAGCAAATGTCTTCATGAGCTCTTTATTCATAAGGACAGCTGACAGAAGATCTGTCTGCAAAGAGCAACAAAGGGAAAGGTGCTAAGTTCAGAAATAGTACCTTAGGTTTGAGACATTAGTATGATTATCATGCCTGGAAGAATAGCAGCCTCTATACACTGTGTTGCACTGCAATCCATGTTAGGCATATTTTGGGAATTGCCTTTTGGCACAAATCAAGTAGAGGGTGGTGTTCTTTCAGAGCACACAGAACAGTCTTCCTTACTATAGGAGATGGTGAAATTCATGTATCATAAATACACACACACACACACACACACACATATATATACATACATATAACAAAAACACTTTCAACATGGTCTCCCCCTGAGCAAAAATATAAATACAATTTCTCACTAGAAATTCAACATCCATTTTTTATGGCACATAAATAAATTGTCTAAAATATCCTGATATTGTTTTAACATTAAATTGCATTAACTTTCTGACAAATTATGCTACACATATCACCTTTAGCCATGACACTTAAAGCCTATTTAGGACTGAGAAAACTAAAAAAACTACAAAAACATAGTTTGAATGAGAATTCATAAATTCAATGAGAATTTATAAGGTTACAGCTGAGCTTTCTGTAATGATCCCTTAATTGTCACCCTTCTTAGCCTTGCTGCTATGTGTGTATCTACTGGACACTAAGAGGAAAAAGCCTGAGGACAACAATGAAGGGGATACAGAGAGGAGGAGCAAGAAGAGCAGCAGAAGTGGGGTTACCTCTCGTTTAGCAAGGAGAACATTGGGAACGATGTGAGGGAGACAGCGGCCCAGCATTAACATCACACTCTCCTCACTGTCTGCTATTCGAGACACCTGGAAACAAGAGCAACATTATATACTGTATGTTGTCCTTTCGAGCCTGGTTGGCTCGTGGGGCTCCTGAGACAGCTGACGGGTACCGGCAGGCCAAGCGGGCTGCAGCCCAGGCAGTTGCAGAGGCAAAAACTCGGGTCTGGGAAAAGTTCGGTGAGGCCATGGAGAAGGACTATCGGTCGGCCTCGAAGAGATTCTGGCAAACCGTCCGGCGCCTCAGGAGGGGGAAGCAGTGCCCTGCCGAAACTGTTTACAGTGGGGGAGGGCAGCTGTTGACCTCAACTGGGGATATT